CACTCTCACAGGTCATGGCGAGACTAAGTGAGGGTCACCTGTCCCAGGGTCTTATGTGATTGACCTGGCAGTACATAGCCACGGCACTCACAGGCACTCACAGGCCAGCTCCATGCTCTGTGGCCGCCATCTTGAGATTCTTAATAACGTTTTTAATGAGGGCCCCGCAGTGTCCCTTTGTCCCAGCCCTGACTGTCAGGGAGGTGCAGTGTCCCCCGTGCGCAGGGGCAGGCACTCACGTCGCAGCCATGCACAGAGTCCCTGGTCCTAGTGTCCCTTTGTCCTGGCCCTGACCGTCAGGCGCAGCATCCCTTGCACCCACGGGCAGGCACTCACGTCGCAGCCGTGTACGGTGCCCCTGGTCCCCAGCGTTACTGTGTCCTGGCCCTGACCGTCAGGGAGGTAGTGTTCCCCGTGCCCTGCCATGCTGTAGCACAGGCAGGCACTCACGTCACAGCCGTGCATGGAGCCCCTGGTCCCCACTGTCACTGTGTCCTGGCCCTGACCGTCAGGGAGGTACAGTGTCTCCCGTGCGCAGGAGCAGGCACTCACGTCGCAGCCGCGCACGGCATCCATGGCCAGCAGGTCGTTGCCGTGGCGCAGCTGGAAGCGGACCATGTCCTCGGCGGCCTGCAGCTGGCTGAGCTCTGGCCCCCAGGCGGGGCTGCGGCGCGCCTCCTTGACCAGGTCCCCGAGCAGCAGTGCGTACTTGCTCATGCGCTGCACCGGCTTCAGCAGGTAGGAAGCCAGGTCCATCTTGTCTCCCAGCGCCTGCTGCCTGGCCTGTGGGGAGGGCGGGGCAGGCCAGTGAGCGGAAGCCGGAAGCCGGCTGGGACTGGCTGGGGTGAGACAGGGCAGGGCGGGGCCGACCTTAAAGAAGGCGTTGCCGCGGCTGCCGAGCAGAGCGTCTGAGCAAGGCTTGTTCTTGCTGTAGAGTGCGTACATGCCAAACTGCTCCTCCTGGGAAAATGGGACAAACACGTGGTGCCCGTGCGCTGGGTTCACGAGGGTGGGCAGACAGACGGAATGGCGGGTGGGCGCACAGGCACGCAGGCAGACACATGGACGAGATACACTCGTACACAGACACATGGAGAAACACATGGATACAGACACAGACACAGACAGTGATGGGCAGATACACACATGGACAGACAGACAAGCAACATGGACACACACAGAGACAGAAATGGGCAGATACAGAGACACATATGAGCAGATACACACATGGACAGACCCATGGACACAGACATGTGTACACACAGATAATGGAGGTACACACAAACACACACCTGCACAGAAAGCTGCATGGACACACATGCAAACAGACACACACATAGATCACACATGGACACCCCCACCCAAGAGCCCAGAAACGTGTGAGGTTTCAAGCCAGATGCAGCCCTCCAAGGCTCTCACCAAACATTCATGGCATTTTAAGACTGACAGACATATCTGAGGGAAAACCTCGAGCATGTTGTGAGGAAGACCCTGAGTGGGTTCTGAGGGAAGACCCTGAGTGGGTTCCAAGGGAGACCCCGAGTGTGTTCTGAAGGAAGTACCTGGACTGGATGTGCATTGAGAGAAGACCCTGAGCATGTTCCAAGGGAAGCCCCTGAGCATCTTCCAAGGGAAGACCCTGAACATATTCTGAGGGAAGACCTGAGTGTGTTCTGAGGGAAGACCCTGGATGTGTTCTGAGGAAAGACCCTGAGTGTGTTCTGAGAGAATATCCAGGATGTGTTCTGAGGGAGACCCAAAGTGTTTTCTGCATGAGGACCCTGGATGTGTTCTAAGGGAAGACCCTGAGTGTGGTCTGAGGGAAGACCTTGGATGTGTTCTGAGGGAGACCCTAAGTGTGCTCTGAAGGAGGACCCTGGATGTGTTCTGAGGAAAGACCCTGAGTGTGTTCTGAGAGAAAACCCTGAGTGTGTTCTGAGGGGAAACCCTGAGTGTGTTCTAAGGGAGATCCTGAGTGTGTTCTGATGGAAGACCCTGGATGTGTTCTGAGGGAGACCCTAAGTGTGTTCTGTGGGAGATCCTGAGTGTGTCCTGAGGGAGACCCCGAGTGTGTTCTGAAGGAAGAACCTGGACTGGATGTGTTTTTGAGGGAAGACCCTGAGTATGTTCCAAGGGAAGACCCTGGGTGTATTCTGAGGAGAGACCCTGAGCGTGTTCTGAGGGAAGACCCTGGATGTGTTCTGCGGGAGACCCTGGGTGTGTTCTGTGGGGAAACCCTGAGTGTGTTCTGAGGGAAGACCCTGGGTGTGTTCTGAGGGGAGACCCTGAGTGTGTTCCAAGGGAAGACCCTAGGTGTGTTCTGAGGGAAGATCTTGAGTGTGTTCTGAGGGAAGACCCTGGATGTGTTCTAAGGGAGACCCCGAGTGTGTTCTGAGGGGAGACCCTGGATGTGTTCCGAGGGAGATCCTGAGTGTGTTCTGATGGAAGACCCTGGATGTGTTCCGAGGGAGATCCTAAGTGTGTTCTGAAGGAAGAACCTGGACTGGACGTGTTTTGAGGGAAGACCCTGAATGTGCTCAGAGGGAAGACCCTAAGTGTGTCCTGAGGGAATATCCTGAGCGTGTTCCGAGGGAAGACCCTGAGCATGTTCTGAGGGAAGACCCTGGACATGTTCTGAGGGAGACCCTGAGTGTGTTCCAAGGGGAGACCTTTGAACCCTGGTGTCAGAGACAAGGCAAGGCTTTTGTCTCAGTGGGGCTAAACCTCCCAGAAGGGAATTTGATACCAGCTCAAGTTCTGTGATAACTTGGTGGCGTTTGATCACAGGGGCACTGAATTTAGAGATTCATTTAGAGAACTGTCTAACTTCTAGAAGTGGAAACTCCAGTCTGTGAACATGCTATGACGTTCTATATGCTCAGGCTTCCATCTGGCCTCTCAGGGAAGTGCCAGGCCGGCCGTGTGAGGCCTCCCTCAGGGAGCCTGTGAACAAGGGCTTGCTGCCCACACTGTGCTCCAGGGCCTGTCATGGTGCCGGGCCCTTTGTTGTTTTTAATGTCTAAACAATTATCTCAGATGTAAGTCCTGAAATTTCGTTTTTAAGTGCTAAAAATACAGTTTTTCTAATATGCCATTTAAATAATCTGAGGACAGAATCCCAAAAGGGGTTAGAGTTTGGAAAGCAATGCATTGTTGCTTTCTAACAAGGAGCCACTTGGCAAAGTTGGCTTGGTGGAAATTTGAAGAAAAACTAAATAGCATGTTGCATTTGAAACAGTAAATGCAAACAAACAAACAAAAAAAGGCAGCAAATTATACAGTTAATTATAATTAGCATTCTAGTAAAAAAATGTGACATTAAAAAGAAGAGAAAAGGGAATTCATTAAATCCCCTAAAAATGCCAAGAGACCAGGAAGGTCAGAGAAAACCTAGGAGACAAGTAGAAAAGTTGAGTAATTTCCAGAAAAAACCAACTTGAGGTTGACACACTCCTTGGAAAATGGACACACAGAAGGAAGCCAAGATGGTATTCGCACAGCAAAAGGATTTTCCAAAGGATGAGAAGGAACCAGCAGCACTGAGATGCTGAAGTGACTCGATATAAAGGAAAAGCCAGTTGCCGTGGAGCCGGTTGTGTTCTTGGCGCCCCCAGTGTGTCAGAGGGGATCTGCATGCCCTAGGACTTTCAACGGCTGACCTGTGGGAAGCAGATCACTAGGGCTCTCTCCCAAGGTGCCTCGGAGCAGACTCGACCGTCCAGCCTTCGGAGAGCGGCCAAGCACCTTAGCCATCTGCACCATGTGGGGACCCCCACATGGAACACGCCTCTCTGAATATTGACAGTTTTCTTGAGCACCGCCACTTAAGACACTTAGTCTTGGACCAAGCCAATATTCCTTAACTTCTGCTCTGAAGATGAAAACTTGGCAGAAATGACAGGAAGCTTTAGAAACCACTCTGTGCTGTATATACCTCTGGATACTTTACACATTATTAAAAGAAATATTTAAAACAAGGCCAGTGAATTTTTTTTTTTCTATTCTTTCTACTCTGTTATTTTGGCCACCAAGTCACCAGTGCCTAGGACACTATGTACTGAATATTTCTAGAATTTTCTTTTCAGAGTAAATTAAAAACATTATTACAAGGTGACTGTGAAGATAAGGCATTTGGCTGCTAACCAGGTCAGCGGTTCAAACTCACCAGCTGCTCCTCGGAAGGAAAGTAAGGTGATTTACTTTCATAAAGATTTACAGCCTTGGAAACCTGATGGGGGTTGCTGAGTTGGAATGAACTCAATGGCAGTGAGCTTGTTCGTTTTTTTTTTTTTTTTTTTTTTTTTTTTTTTTTGTGAAGACCCAACTAGAGTGCGATTCTGTGTTCACAGCTAAGAAGGGAATGGCTCTCCTCCAATGGATCTAACTTTCGAGGTTCTCCAATCCTAAAGGGTCATCCTCAGACCTCGACAAGCTGACCCTGAGGCCCATGTGGAAGACACATGGAGCCCAGGGAGTGGGTCTCCAGGGACGTGAGGTGCAGGTCCCGAGCACTGGTCCTGCCAAACATGTTTTGGGAATTGCTTTTGGCCAGCTGGTCTGCGGTGGTAAAGGCAGCGACAGCACTTGTCCCATGGGGCTGTCGGAAAATTAAATGGGCTGATGTAGGTAAAAGGAGCCGTGGTGGTGCAGTGGTTAAAGGATTTGGCTGTTAACCAAAAGGTCAGAAGTTTGAACCCACCAAACGCTCTGTGGGAGAAAGTTGAGTCAGTCTGTGTTTGTGAAGACTGACAGCCTTGGAGACCCTGTGGG